CCCCTTACAGCCCCCTCCCCAACAGCCCCACTCACCCCTCCAGCCCCCGCCTGTCCGCTCCCTGGGCACAGCCGGCGACCTGACCTAGCGCCCTAATCCCAGACGCCCACCGACCGACCGACCGACCCCAGCCCCATACGCTGCCTATCCCTTACAGCCCCCTACCCAACAGCCCCACTCACCCCTCCAGCCCCCGCCTGTCCGCTCCCTGGGCACAGCCGGCGACCTGACCTAGCGCCCTAATCCCAGACGCCCACCGACCGACCGACTGACCCCCCACCCCAGCCCAGCCCACTAGCGGGGACAGAGGAGCGCAGTGGGGCGGAGGAGTTTCTGGGGCAGGACCCCCGTACCCAGGCTGTGCTGGCTCAGCTCCCCAGGACCAGCTGAGCCGGCTTCTCCTCCGAGCCCCACGGAGTTGCCGGACGGCGCGGCCCGGACTGGACTCACCTGATGGTCCGGACTGGAGTCACCCGACAGCACAGCCCAGACTGGACTCACCTGGTGGCCCAGACTGGACTCACCCGACAGCACGGCCCGGATTGGACTCACCCGACAGCACGGCCCGGATTGGACTCACCCGACAGCACGGCCCGGATTGGACTCACCCGACAGCACGGCCCGGATTGGACTCACCCGACAGCACGGCCCGGATTGGACTCACCCGACAGCACGGCCCGGATTGGACTCACCCGACAGCACGGCCCGGATTGGACTCACCCGACAGCACGGCCCGGATTGGACTCACCCGACAGCACGGCCCGGATTGGACTCACCCGACAGCACGGCCCGGATTGGACTCACCCGACAGCACGGCCCGGATTGGACTCACCCGACAGCACGGCCCGGATTGGACTCACCCGACAGCACGGCCCGGATTGGACTCACCCGACAGCACGGCCCGGATTGGACTCACCCGACAGCACGGCCCGGATTGGACTCACCCGACAGCACGGCCCGGATTGGACTCACCCGACAGCACGGCCCGGATTGGACTCACCCGACAGCACGGCCCGGATTGGACTCACCCGACGGGGCCAGGATTTCCTCTCCCCAGCTGCAGGCTGAACGGAGGCCGGGAGAGATGGAGTTTTCTGCTCTGCCTCCCCGAGGAGCAGGGGCCGCTGGCCTGTGCTTTGGTCTATGCCTGGTGCCTTCCCATCCTCCAGAGAGATGGCTCCTCCCGTCCCTGGGCCCCCAGCTGGGGCAGGCTCAGTGGGGTCCGAGGGGGGGCATCCAGTGCCCGCTGGCATTCAGCAGAGCCAGGTCAATCGGCGTGGGCGAGCCCCTTCCTTCCCGGTCCTTCTCCAGAGCTTTGAGCGGGGGCAGCACGGAGGAGATGAACCCTCCGTAGAGGATGCTGCTGTCCAAGCGGGAGTAAGGCCGATCTTCCGTGGGGCCTGCCTTGGGCTCCTGGAAATCCGTCACCAGAGCGGTGCCTTGGAGGAGGTTGGCACTGAAAAGGCCACTTGGGCTCCTAGCAGCAAAGCCCTCGGCCTTCTCGTCCCCTGGAGGCTGCCTCAGTATCCCCAGGAGGGAGACCGTCTTCTCCTCGAGTCCAGCTGACCTGTTTTCCCAGGAGTAAACTTTCCTGGGCTCCTCTTTGGCCGGTGGCATCTCATCCTTACTGAGATACGGGTTTTCTATCTCCTCCTCCTCCTCCTCCTCCTCCTCCTCGTCCTCCTCTTCCTCCCCCCCCTTTCGGTCCATTCTCCTCCAGACACATCCACCCCGCCAGGCCGAAGAGCTGGGCGAGGGACTCCGGCAAGGCAACCTGGGAAGCAGGAGCGACCTGGTGCTCGTCGATGGGCGGCAGGGGGGCGTACTTCCCGCGGGAGGAGGCGTGCGATGGCCGGAAGGGCAGGAGAGGGTTTCGGATTTCGGAGGGGTCCATGCTACGGAGGGTGTCCACCAGAAGTTCCATGTCCACACACAGCTCGGGATCCTCCTCTGCCATCTCCTGGGGACTCCCCGCACGGGCGGCTTTGGGCTCTTCGGAGGACACGGCGGGTTCGTGGACAGCTCCCGTGGAGCTCTGTGCTGGATCCTGCCCGAGCTCAGCCGGGGGGGCCGTGTCCAGGCCCGTGGGCGCTGGCTGTGCGCCCGCGGCAGGGCCAGCCTCGCTGCTTTACCT